CTACTACTCAGGTGGAGATCAGAAGACAACTTTTGGAAGTCGGTTTTCTCATCTCATGGAGGTTAAACTCAGGTTGTCAGAATTGGTAGATGGTATCTACTTGCTGAATCATCTCTCTGGTCCTCTATATGTGAATTTATTTATTTGACACAGAATACCTATGCAACACTGGCTAGGCTGGAACTCACTATGCAGACCAGGCTGGACTTGATCTCACAGAGATCTTTGTGCCTCTGCCTCTCAAGTGCTGGAGTTAGAGGTGTGCACCACCATGCCTAGCTCTATACGTACACCTTATGACCAGTGTATTGATACTGACTTTTTAGGTTGACAGCAATATTGTGGTAGTCTATACAGAAGGGGCCTTGGTCTGTTAGATTCAAAGTGAAGTTGAGATGGAGTCACCACTGTCTTCATCTGTGTATCAGAGCAGGGAAGTCGCTGCTTGGGGGAGTGGGATTGACCCAGGGTTGACGTAGGTGCCACAGCATTGGACAGTCATGAGACTTAAGGTCCCCAGACCCTCTTATACTATTCTGTCACCTGTTGTGATTCTACTATAAAATATTTTTTCAAAAGTACTGAATTGTTACAAAAAGGTGGTGGGTACCCTCCGATATGACTACACCCCACAGGAAAAGTTAGCTGTGCGAGACTTTGCCTCCCAGTGCACCTCAGTGCCCTAGACAAAGGCCCAGCCTGGCGCCGTGGCTCCTGATTCTGGCTTGGCATCCTCCACACCCCAGACCAAGCCCTGGCTCTAAGTTCCTGCAGGAATCGCTATCTGGATATCAGGGCATCTCTTTGTTTCCTCTATTTATTTCATGGCTGCTCCTATTTTAGCAGCTGGTCCTGGGTTTCTATTTAGAGAGACAGCAAAGCCTGCTTCTTAAACAAATAGATGTAAACACTTCGATTCAAAGACAAGTGGGAAATAACAGTGCAGGTGGTACTTAGATATTGTAAAAAAAAAATTTTTTTTAGGGTGTTAAAGAAATGACAGAAGTTTGGGAGGAACCGGATGACAAGTTTCAGGAAATGTTTTCTTATTTTATTTATCAGGTTGACAAAGCATCCTCACACAATCTGTTTTTCTCTTGTCTCTGGGTATTTGTGCTAGGGGCCACAGGAGCTGTTCAGGACACCTTCTGAGACCTCTTCAGATGAAGGATTAGCACTAACACTGAGAGAGGAAGAGCAGTGGGAGGGAGCAGAGATATAGAGGGTGGCAAAGCTCTTCCCCCATGGGCACCAGACTTCATTCCTTACTGGATGTGTAAGGTGGGAGGGGTACAAAGTGAAAGAAAAATTATTAAAGATTTATTGATAATCACTGGTTTTTTTTTGCTAGGAAAATGTCCTGGTTACCTAAGGAAAACACAGTCAACAAATGTGTCCACTGGCTTTACTGTTTGCATAACATGGTCTTTGTATGTGATCCACACTAGAAATCACAATCCTGTGAATAATGGGTAGGAGTCACAAACCCAGATTAAACTATAACTCTCCCTCTCTTCCTCCCTGTTGATTCATGTAGAGTTTTAAGAAATAGAAGAGAAATTTTTATGTAGCCTACCTGTTTCTCCAACTGTAACATCTTATAAACCAGCGACTTGTCCTGAGTAAGGTCAAGATAGCTAACATTCCCATCACCCTGATGTCATGTCACCGTTGATATTCATGTTCCACCCTTGCCATCATCACACCTCTGTTCGCCCATCCTGCACTTTGTCACTTCTTCACGAATATTATATGAAAGGGCCAGCGAGATGGCACAGTGGGTCTGGCACTTACTGCCAAGCCTGATAATGTCTGTTCCGTTCCCAGGACCCACATAGTAGGAGAGACTTGACTCCTGCAAATGGATCTCTGATCTCCACACACTTGCTGTGGCAGAAGAGGGTGATGAATCTCCTGGCACTGGAGTTACAGGCAGTTGTGCGTTGTCATGTGGGTGATGGGAACTAAATCTGGGTTCTCTGCAAGAACAACAAGTGCTCTTACCTGTGAACATCAATGTTCATTTGTTTAGGTAAACATATTTTTTAAAAAATGTGTTGCCATCATCAACAGCCTTGATGTTCTCTTAAATATTCATTACTGGGGGCCCTGGAGATGCTTAGTGGGTAAGAGCCTTAACCACCAAGCACTGATGGCCTGAATTCCATCCCTAGAACTCCCACGTGGAGGAAGATGAGAACCAGCTCCTACAGGTTGTCCTCTGACCTTTATATGTATTACATGGCAGACAAACATAAACACAGAGAAATAAGTAAGTGAGGAAAAAAGAAAGAAAGAATGAAAGAAAGAAATAATGAATGAACAAATGGAAGAAAGAGAGAGAGGGAGAGAGAGAGAGAGAGAGAGAGAGAAAGAAAGAAATCCTACTATCTTTCTGTATTTCTGTCTTGGGGTTTCTATTGCTGTGAAGAGACATTATGACCACAGTATAGGGGTATTTATTTGTTTTAATAAATGAAGCTTGCCTGAAGATCAGAGAGCAAAGCAGCCATATAGGTCAGGGAGTAGTGGCACACACCTTTAATCCCAGGACTCAGGAGACAGAGGCAGATGAATCTTTGTGAGTTCAAGGCCACCCTGGGCTACACAAGAAGAGAAACAATTCACACAAAGGTGATTCCAGCACTTGGGATCACACGCCTTTAATCCCAGCACTAGTGAGGTAGAGACAGGAGCAAATATGGCTGGGCAGAGAGAGGAATATAAAGGGGAAGAGACAGGAACTCAGTGTGGAGTTTGAGGATTCATAGAGACAGGATCTTGTCCATTAGGTCTGAATATTTGGTAGAGATGGGGTTCAGGTTGAACTCCAGTATCTGTCTTGGGTTTTTATTATTCGTGCTATGCCACGGCAACTCTTATAAGGAAAGCTTTTAACTGGGGTGACTTACAGTTTCAGAGGGTTCAGTCCATTATCATCATGGTGAGGAACACTGTGGCATGCAAGCAGTCATAGTGCTGGAGTAGTAGCTGAGAGCCATACATCTTGTAGACAACAGGAAGTTGACTGAGACACTGGGTGGTATCCTGAGCATAAGAAACCTCAAAGCCCGCCCCCACAGTAACATACTTCCTCCAACCAGGCTACCATAACTACTTCAACAAAGCCACACCTCCTAATAGTGATACTTCCTATGAGATTAGGGGGGCCAATTATATTCTATCTATCTATCTATCTATCTACCTACCTACCTACCTACCTACCTAACTCCAACCTACCTCTGATGTACCTGTTACTGACTTCTTTTATTTATTTATTTGTTTGTTTGTTTTGGGGACAGGGTTGCTCTGTAGCTTTGGAGCCTGTCCTGGAACTAGCTCCTGTAAACCAGACTGGTCTCAAACTCACTGAGATCTGCCTGCCTCTGCCTCCCTAGTGCTGGGATTAAAGGAGTGCACCACCACCGCCCAGCTGTTACTGACTTCTTGATAACCAGAGAGCTTGAGCTAGAACGCTCTGTGACCCTAATGGTCCAAAGAATAAATAAGGCTCCCTTGTGCTCCACCAGGTCCCTTTTTATGTATTTTGTTTACCTGTCTGGCATAGGGTCCAGGCACTCTCAAATTTACTAATGTATTCTGTGTAGGAGATACCGGCTGCCCACAGTGGGGACTGGATGATGGAATGGATCTTTCACCACGAAATCTTTTGAACTTCTTTAATTTCAGCCACCTGAAGCTCTCTGTATGATCTCCAGCACTGGAAATTAAAAATAACAAAGCAAAATCAAGAACACCCAGGAGGGCTTTGCACAGACATCCTGGGGCCGACTTCTTCACACTTTTGTTTCCTTTAAGAAGACGGAAATTCTCCTCCAATAGCAATTGGTACCCAGCCTGAAAGACACACCCTCTTCTGGAAAGCTTCTCAAGCACATATTCCTGGTCCAGGGTCCTCAGGCCCTGAGAGTGCACTACACATGCTCCTTCATCCACCCAAAATTTCCACGGGCAAGTAGAGCACGGCCAAAAGCAACTTGGGAAGGAAAGGGCTTAGTTGGCTTATCTATCCCAACCACGGTCCAACATTGAGGGAAGCCGAAGCCGGCACTCAAGCAGGTCAAGAACTGAAGGCAAAGTCATAGAGAAATGCAGCTTCATGGATTTGCTGCTTTTGGTTTGCTCAGCCTGCTTCCTTATATACTTCAGAGCCCCCTTCTCAGACATCGCACCGCCCACAATGAGCTGGGCCCTCCCACACCAATCATTAATCAAGAAAATGCCCAATTAACATGCCCACGGGCCTATATGTTGGGTCATTTTGTCAATTGAGGTGTGTCAAGTTGACAAACAAAACCAACTAGCACAGACCAGGGATGGTGGCCTCTCAGAAACCCAGTGAGACGCTATCGTCTATTCCAGAGGCTTTCCCTTAGAAAAAAAGGTTTTCCCCAGCCAGCCTGAAACTCAGCCTCAAGTTCTAGTGGCATCAGCCTGTGGTCACTTTTCCTTCAGGTCCCGCTACTCTATCCAGTTCCCGTTGAACGCAGGCTCACCTTGCCGCTGAATTCAGGGTGTTGTGCCCTAACTGACCTTTGGGGTAACTAACACTGGAAAGTCCCTAGTGTTGCCCTGATGATGGACTGCTGATCGCAGGGAACCCTAACAGTTTCTGGAGCCCGTTGGTGCTTCAGCGGGTGGCTTCCCTCTGAAGTGTGCCCTGGAATGAGGGCACTCCACGTGGGAACCCTCAATGTTCTGGGTCTCCTGTCTTAGTGCGATGTCCTTGTCCACCACCAGAGGCTCCAGACAAGGCGGTATGAACGAGAGCGAGCCGGCTGGAAGGCTGCCCCCGGCAACCAGTGACGCGCACGGCGGCGGCTTGAGGACACGCGCTAGCGGCCCGGGGGCTGAAAAAGCGCGCAGGATCCCGCGCGCTCTAGGGGGTGCAGCGCGAGCGCGTGAACTCCGCTTCCCCGAGTGCCCCGCCCCCACCGCGGTCGCCCCGCCCCCCGCGGCCACCTGCTGCCCTGCGCGCGAGCCGGTGGAGGGCGCGGGAGCGCGCGCCGGGGCGCTAGCGAGGCCGGGAGGATGGCGCGGGCCTCGCGGGTGCAGCCGGCGCTCTGGGCGCTGCTGTTGCTACAGGCAGTGGGCCCCGCCGTGGCGGCCAAGCTCAACATTCCCAAAGTGCTGCTGCCCTTCACGCGGGCCACGCGCGTGAACTTCACTTTGGAAGCTTCTGAGGGCTGCTACCGCTGGTGAGGCGCGCGGGCCCCGGCGGGAGGCGGCAGGTGCGCGGGAGGGGGCCTGGGCGCAGGTGCGCGGCGTGCGCGCTCTAGCCGGCCCCGCGTGACCACGCGGCGCGCGCGCTCGCTGTCTGCACATGGCGTCCGGGCCACTAGTGTCTGGGCTGCGCGGGAAGAGGAGGCTCGGATCGCGGGCTGCAGAGGGCAGCGCCCCACGTGGCCTCGGTCCCCTGCTGTCAGGGCCCTGAGGAGCTCCAGTATGAGCAGCCAGGGCTCTGGAGTCTATTGGAGACGGGGAGACTCACCCCTGGCGCCCGACTGGTGTGGGAAGCGGGTCTGTGAAGACCTGGGCAAGGCGTGTGTGGGAGACCCACCATACCCGTTGGCCCACTTTGGGAAAATCTTAAGTCTTGGATGAAAGGACCTGGAGGTCTATTTTTCAGCTCTGAAGTGTGAGGCAAGGGTCTGAGATGCTGGTGGATCAAGATGCTGCTTGGTTTCCTGGCCAGGATCTGACCCAGCAGGGTGATGCGATCCAGCCTTTGACTAGGCAAATGAGGAAGGGAGAGCTTCTGGTTGCTGGGTGCAAGTTGAGTAGGGTGTGACCAGGTCGCACCCTTTACACACACCCTGACTCACTAGTGATAATTTGGTAGTGCTCCCTCATCCCTTAGGTTACACTTAGCTGCCAGCCTCCTTTCTGCCTCAAGGATCTGTCTAGGACATGGTTCTCAACCTGTGGGTCGCGACCCCTTTGGATCACATATTCGATATTCTCCATATCAGATGTTTACGTTAGGATTCATAACTTAGTAACAGAATTACAGTTGTGAAGTAGCAATGAAATAATTTTATGGCTGGGGTCACAGCAACATGAAAGTATTAAAGGATCGCAGCATACGGAACAAACACTGGTCTAGGCTAAGGCTTAACTAGCTTGTGTGTGTGTGTGTGTGTGTGTATTCATGTTCTGTATGATGCCCAGAGCTCAGACCCGTTGTTACATGTAGTTCTCAAACCTATTTGTTTTAAAAGTCTGCCTCATAAGGGTGGCATTGTCACCCCTGTAGTCCCTGCGCTGGGGAGGCTGAGGCAGGAGGACCCAGTTTGAGGTCAGTCTGGGTTGTGAGACAGTGTCTCCAAGTGGAGGCAGAGTCATTCCATTGCCTTTGGAGTGAGTGCTTTACCCACGAGGAGGCGCGCTTTATCCCTCCCTGGGGCCTTGTTTTGAGCGGGAAGATCAGCTACTTGGGAGGGCTACAGGCTCATTCTCTTGCTGAAGTTGTCTGCTTGATGGGCAGGAAAGAGGAAGCTGGCTATGTATAATAGCTGGCTCCAAGTGAATCCCCTCGCATGCATTTGTGTACTGCTTCCTGCGAAGTTCTGTAGCTATACTTTTGTTTCTAAAATAACAACCTTTTTCTTTCTTTCTTTTCCCACACTGTGCTTTCCTGAGAGTTGCTGGTGGGTTTTGGCAGATTTTTATTTACTCAGAAAGCCCGGGAAAAGCATTCAAAATCTCAGACGTGTCAGAGGCGCGCTGAGTCCCTTCTGGGTTGTTTAGTGTCTGGTTACTTTGATCCTAAGGCGTGGTTGACTGCTCAGACTAAGTGTCTTCTTTGAAGGTGTTTGGTTGCAGTTTCCCCTTTACTTCACGGGAAGATGGTCTGTCAATCAAGCACAATTCAGAAATGTTAATCTGAATACTGGCACTTACTGCTTTAGTTCTGAGGATTCTTGTCTGGAGCTTCTGGGAATTGGCAAGCAGCTGAGACTGGTACCTGCAGTTACCTCCACCTACTTCAGGTCTTTGAGATGAAAAGCAGAGAAAAGTTAACCCCTGCCATGCCCGGGGGGTGTTGCTCAGTTTAGTAGTCCCTGCTGAGCTCCAAGTTCTCTGAAGTTGCTGCAAGTTTGAGCCTGTAGCTTCAAGGTTACCTTTCCTATTTCCTGATTTGCATCTCTTAACTGGGAGGTAGTCTGGTCCTTATTGCTGAGTTTGAGGGACTGACAGGGAAGGGTAGCAGCTCACTCCCTTAGAGTAGTGACGATGGCGTGGGAGCTGAAGCCGAAGGCCTTCCAGCCCACCGAATGGGACCTGCGCAAGCAGCCTTGGCTGATTTACCGGGCTCCTTTGTCTTTCCCATTGAACCTAGTCAATGCTACACAAAGTATGATTAACCTAGTTATCTTACAATGAAAGTGATCCGCAAAGCTATTTCATTGGTTCCTTTAAAAGGTATTATTTACAAATGATACCCACAAAAAAAAAACTTGGAGAATTGATACAATTGGTTTATTAAGAAGGTGGTCTGCAGGGAAGTGGGAGAGGTAAAGCAGGGGAGTGGAGTGAGGATGAGTAAAGTCTGGGCACTCTCTGGAACTGGATTGTACTTAAGGCAAGGGGAGAGGGAGACAAAGTCTGTGCATGTGTGTGCAAGTCTCGCTAAAATAGGACACCCACACATGATTTTTTTTTAAGTTTATTTTATATGTGTGTGCCTGGGGCCTGAGGAGGCCAGTATAGGGCATTGAGTCCCCTGGAACTGGAGTTACTGATGATTATAAGTGATAAGCTGCCATGTGGGAGATGGGAACCAAACCCAGGTCCTCTGCAAGAGCAACAAGTATTCTTAATTGCTGAGCTATTTGTCTAGCTCCTACACGTATGCTTATTATAAAGACAAAGAATGGTGGCTGTCCCTTGATGAACTGTAACACACACTAGGGTCTGTCTTATTTGTGACAACCGTGCTCTTGGGTATGTTTTGTTTTTCTCTGAACACTTCTCTCTTAACCTTTGTACTCAAGCCTATTATAAAATATCTGGGGGCTGAAGAGGTGGCTCTTTCAGAGGACCTGGATTTGACTTCTAACATTTGTATGGAGGCTCACCACTGTGTGTCTCTCCAGTTCAGATGCCTTCTTCTGGCCATTAGGGTCACTGTACACACACACAAACTATGCGCATACATAATACGGGCAAAACACCCATTCCCATAAAATAAATTAGAAAAGATAATTTTTGAAGATTGAAAAATTGTAAGAGACCCTGTGCTGGCTAGTTTTTAATGTCAACTTGACATAATCTAGAGTCATTTTGGAAGAGAGAACCTCAAGAAAGAAAATACCCCTCCCCAGATTGATCTGTAGGTACGCCTGTGGTACATTTTCTTAATTGATGTTTGATGTGCAGTGGCACCCATGAACCTGGTGGTCTCAGGTGCTATAAGAAAGCAAGCTATGACAGCAAGCCAGTAAGCAGCAAGCACTTCTGCATCAGTTCCTGCCTTGAGTTTCTGACCTGACTTCCCTCGGTGATGGAGTGTGACCTTAGAATTGTAAGCTGAGACACACCCTTTCCTCACCAAGTTATCACAGCAGTAGAAACCCCAACTACGATAAACCCCAACTGCTCCTCTTCATAGACAGGCTGGTTCTGAAATTCTTTCATGTTTGTTGAAGCCATGAATCTCTATTTTTGCTAAGTCAGGTCCCTAGGAGTTCAGGGAAAGTCCTCAGGCTGCTGAGAGTGACGGCAGGGAGTTGTGCCTCCCTCCCTTCCCCACACTGCTAGTAGTAAGGATTCTCAGACCAGTCAGAGCTATTCTGGGTTAGGCAGTCACTTAACACATAGTGGACAATAGCGATGATGTCAGTCTACACTGGACTCTGTTTAAGGAGTGACAGTGAAGAAGTGGGTGATGCCCTGATTTCCTGGAATTCAAAGTTGGACTGTGGGAGCATTTGAACATGGCCTGTGGAAGAAGTGGACGGCAGTCTGAGACGTGTATTCTGGGTAATGCCTCCCTGGAGTCCAGCTGGGCTCTGTAAAGGTTCTTACTGGAGAGAACAGCAAGTGCAGAGGCCCTGGCCTGGGATTGAGTGGCTTGGAAGGGAAGCATTTGGTGAGGTTAGGGTGAGGGAAAACACACGAACGAAGTGAAAGTAATTCTGCAAGGCGATTTCTTCTTTGCAAAAATGGTCTGCAAGAACCCAAATGAAGCTAGCTAACACATTCACCAAATTAGCTTATCTTATTTCTGGTGTAGGTGCTGCCTGTGTCTCATGTCATTGGTGGGAACTGACTTTACAGTCAGATTGGCTAACTGGCAAAAGGGGAAGCAGTTCAGGAATATGGACTCTTGCTGTCTGAGCACCTTTGATTAAAAAAACAAAACTGGTTCTCACAAGGGTATCAGAAGGTGAGGTTGGAGAGGTTGGCAGGTCTAGGTCACGTGAGACCTTGTGGGCTTTGGTTAGGAGACAGGAAAGGGTTACCGGGTCAGGCATTGAGCCTGAGTCTCTGGGGCCTTGCTCTTCTGAAAACCATGGTACATGGCCCCTAGAGATGCCTGCAGCTGAGGTTCTTGAGAGGCTGCACTCTTAAGAGGTCCTGTGTGTTCATCTTACCAGACCAGTGGGAGTGAGGTTCTGGAAAGTGCCTGTGGACTTGAGCTGACCTGGAGCCCGGGTGGTTTTCTTCCACTTCCTTTGTGGGGTTCCCCTATTTTGCCTGACCCGGAGGTGGCTTCTACTCTGCAGACTCATGAGAGGTGATCTTTGCAGATGTGTGGAGAGGGCATTGGCTACATTGGCCACCAGGTCCACCTTCTTCCCATCCCTCTTTTTAGCCTCTCTCACCATCTCCCTTATTTTTTTTTCCATTATTCTTCTCTGGCCTGACCTCCCTGAGTCTCTGGGTTCCTCTGACCCCTGCCCAGGTCCTGCCCTGTGTTCTAAAAAGGGGAGAGCTCCCTTAAAGGCAGTGGCACCCAGATAGCTGGGACATTTTCTGTGCTGGTGGGTCTCATACAGCCGTGGTGATGACAAAGTGTCACCCTTTTAAAGCTCTCTCTCCCTCATTATTTCTTTAGTGGTACTGGACTAGACCCCAGGACCACACACATTCTAGGGAAACACTGTACCCACCAAATCACACCCCCAGCCTCTCATACTCCACTCTTGATCCTTAGATTTCCATAAAGTAAAGGTTTTCTTGAGTCAATATG